AAAAAGGAAAATAATACCTGCCCTCAAGAACAAACTACTGCTAATTTGTTTATTTGTTGTATTAAAGCTAGAACGGCGCTGTGAGGTAGGAGGCAAGACATATCCTCGGGTGGGGAAGTTTTTGCTCTGTGGGGTAGTTTCTGTAACAGCTTTACAGAAGCTAGATATGTCAGCGAAATATTAACCAAACAGCATTGGAAAAATTAACTGGATAATGTGATGATCTATTTGACAGCAATTTTTTCCCTTTATTTCATTTTGTAAATCTGTGTTTTCAGAGATGGCTGAGGTTTGGAAATAGATAACAGCAGCCCCATAAGAACCGTGCACTCCCCAACCTAGTTCGCAGGGGATTGTAGAATTCAAATAAATACATTTTTAATGGAGGGAAAGCCCACCGGAGAACTGTAACCGGGATTGCTTACTGAACTATCGGGATGGGTCACAGACTACTGTTTGCATAGGAAACTCACTAAAGGGGATTGGACAATGGCACATGCATGTTAATGCTAGCTTATTTGCAGCTTTGTTATGGAGGAAGGCTGGGGAAAGGGAAGGTGAACTAAGATACAGAATCTTGATACCTGAAAAGTCTCTGTATTAAGCAGAGATTGGAACACAGTATTTTGGTGTCAAAACCTGGGGCAGCCTCAAGAAATGGTTGGATTTACAGAGAGAAAATCTCTTCAGTCTCTTAAATCAGAAAATCCACTGCTCTGTGTTATCCTCTGACTTTGAGCATGTTCCAAGTTTCAGTTGGAGTTGGCGATAGGGAATGGATTAAGTACAGCTTGGCTTTTATACTTAAACCTTAGGCATTAATTGCTTAGCATACCAAGATTTTCCTGTTGAATTACTTGCTATTCAAACTGCTGATAAACTACAAGTTTAAGCTGTTGATAACAAGTAAGTGTTCACATTTAAAAAAAAGGGGGGGGTGGGGGAGTCTTGAAGGGGAGTGAGGAATCCAGCAAAAGGGCCAGAATCAGATGGGTCAAATAGACTGGGAAATAATTTGCCATCTGGCGAGAAGAAAATGGGGGTATTACCATCTTAAAAGCATTGTATCAGAAGGTCTATTTGTGAACTATCAGAGAAGTAGCATATGCTGAGCATCGATACCTGCACATACTTCCCTCAGCTCATACTGCATACAATGGGAACTCTCAAACATTCAATTGAAGGTACATCACAGAAAATATCCTTCATGCAATCATCACTTTTTACAGGGGTATCCGGGAGGTTGCATATTTAGGATCAATTCCTGAGAGCTGCTGAGCTCCTGGAGTTCCAGCTGATGTCAACATCTCTAGATTTGATTCACAGAGGTAAAAAACTAAATTAAGACCCATCAATGCAAGGTGTAAGGGTAGTTGTGTGTGTACTTCCCTCATATTGGCCCTGTCACCATTCATAGGTTGCAGCAGCAGTCTTTTGCTTGCAGGTTGTGGGTGGGTGACATTACCTACTGCTAAACTCAATAACTACAGCAAGGTGAAACTGATTCTCTGTAAGAGAAAGAGCATGGTCTGGTAGATAGGGGGCTAGACTGAAACTCAGGAAGCCTCGGTTCTATTCCTGGCTCTAGCAATGACTTTCTGTATGACCTCAGGCAAGTCACTTTGCTTCTTTGTGACTCTGTTTCCCAGTTGTCTGTCTTCTCTGTTAGGACTGCAGGCTCTCTGGGGCAGTCTCTCTTGCCAGGTGCCTAAATCGCACCTAGCACAGATTTCAGATGGGGATTCTAGGAATTACTGTAATCAATATAATGACAACAGCAACAGTGGCAGGAGTGAATCACTGAAGAAAATAGCATGAGAATCAAATTCAGCTTCAGCAACAATACAGCCAAACACCAAGTTGAACACGGATAGAGAGGAGTCCACACATATAAGTACACAAAATCTATTACAACTGAATAATTATGCCCCAAATCTTTACCTTGAATTGATTCCCTACATTCATGGCCTTCACAATATTTCAATGATTCCTATTTCTCAATATCACTGAAGAAGATGTAAATATACCCTAAAACTGTATGATAAAGAACATCTGATGTTTAACCATAAACGATTACATTGCACTCTGCACAGCACATCCTAAACGGACATTGATGCCCTTAATGTTTATGTCAGTGCCCAGTGTGTAGCCTACTGAGACTGAGGCTGTATCACAGAATAACATGGCAGAACTGCATAAAAACCTCACTCATGGTATTTTAGAGAGTCAAACTTCGGTCTCTCAAGACATTAGTTGAAGTAGCTTGCACTGCCAATACCAGTTCTCACAGCTTTGTCTTTAACTTGTGTTTTTCTTGGGGTTAATGTTAGATGCCAGTCCTGTTGGTTTGAATTACTTGTATTTACAATATACATACACAGTATATACACAGCATAAATGCAATCAGCAACCTAGAGACATCAGGGTTTTCAAAATTTTCAAAAGCACCTAAGTCCCGTTTTCAAAAGTGATAGGCACTTAGACTATTGAATCTCATTGTAAATCAACATGTAACGGGGCGAGACTCACCACCTAGGTGCCTCCTGCTGGCCGTGCTGGCAATTAACTCTTGACTGCCGGTGCAGCTTCCTCTAGAGTGTCTCACCGCCATTACTTCTGCTCCACCTCTAACACCCGCATCATTTCCCAGACCGCAGCGTCCTCTTCTGTGCCCCACTCTGCTTTCTCTCCCCTTCCAGGGGAACCGGGTGTCTCTAATCCATCCACTTGCCACTGTGGCCTACTGCAGCCTTCAGTCTAGCCCCTCACCTCAAGAGGCAAACTGCAGTCCAAATACTGGCCACCCCCCTCTGTGGCAAGTGGGGGGAAAAGGGGGTACCTCATAGCCAGCAGCCACATGCTGCCGCTTCTCCAATTCCCATCGCCTATTTCCCTGGGCCACTTCCCCAGAGGCCTAGTACCTTCCTGGCCCTTTGTATCAGGGGCCTCAGTCTGGCAGTCCCCAGGCTAGAACTCCCTATTGCTCCCCTGACCCTCCCCAGCACTGCTCTAGCTAAGGTACTCCTCTAAGACAGCTAGTCCTTCTCCCTTGCACTCCAGAGCAAGACTACCCCTGCTCTGTTGAGCAGCCCTTCTTATATGGCCCTCCCTGGCCCTGATTGGTTGCTCCAACAAGCCTGCTCCTGATTGGCTCTCTACAAGTCCTCCTCCCATTGGTTGGGTTTTGCACAGGGCTGCTTTAACCCTCTATCTACCTGTGTGGGGCAGCTGCCCCACCACACAACAGAACCTGGGAGTTCAGCTCAGCCCACTGCCTAACCCAAATGACAAGTATGGCAAAACAAATGAGGTGAAGAACACATCCTACTTCTTGGTTCCTCAGTCTGAGATGATATGTTTCTCCCTCCAGTTCTACTTGTGTAGCCATGCCCCTCACATCAAAGCCCATGGGAGAAGTATAGATAAAGCCAACCTTTCTAAAAGTACAGCAGGCTCAGCCAATGTCATTTGTTGACCTCTGCAACTTGGAATTTGACACTTTTGCAGCAGGTAGTTCCCCTTTTTCATTTTGGGTTTCTTTTATGCTAAATTGTTTTTCTGAAGAGGAAAGTCTCTCCCCATTCCCCCCACCCCTCCCTTTTTTTAATTTAATTTTCCAGTACACCAGTCTTCCCTTCCCTTGGACTTTTATAAAGCACAAAATCATCTGCATGAAAATACTTTTGTCATTTAGCTGGAAAATTGTTTACCATTGTGCCTGAGAGTGAAAGTGGTTTCTTATTCTCAAAATGCAGGCAAACAGTACCCCTGAGTTTCTCTTTGTCACATCAGAACATATGCCATTTTTAATCAAACTGCTTCCCCGTTTATTAATCTAAACTGCCAAACCAATTTAAGGATTGAGGGGCGGCAGGGAAACCCAAACAACAAGTTTACCAACTTGTCTAATAAAATTTCAAGAGCCATTAAATCAAAAGGTCTCTGGGAAATCAATCAGGCCCCCGCTGGGAAGCTGACCTTTACCCATTGCCTCCAAAATATTTTTGGTGATGGTTTTTAATAGTGGAGATTTCTCCTGACTGGTTAGGCTGGAGCCTTGATCAACAAGGGGTCATACATTGTATTTGTACGTTGGTAGAATAGCTGTCTAAACACAAACAGCAACTCTTTAAAAATGAAGGTTGTTCCTCTTAGACCTCATGCCAGAGTATTATTTCTTATTGTGTGTCTCACCAGTCCCTTTTAAGCAGCACTGTTGTTTAGTCACCCTTCTGAATCATCTCACGCTTGTGCAATTGTACTTGCAGTAGAAGGTAGACCTGGGGGTTGATTTGCAGAGGTATTGAGCATCCACAATTCCAGGAGACACCGCTGGGAGCTGCAGGTGCCCAGCATTTGTTATAAATCGGATGTATAATGGGCCAGATTCTTCTCTCAGATACTACTAATGTGCAGCTCCTGCTGGCTTCAATGACAATTGTGTGTTTGCATCTAAGAGCAGGGACGTGAGCTTACAGACTATCCAAGAGATATTTGGTTGAAACGGATAGTCTTATGTTCCTTTATAAAGCTTCAGGTGGGACCATATTCTCCAGAGCCAGAGGGGAAGAGGGATGGGAGAAGGGCGTTTTTACAGCCCTACAGTTCTGGTTGAGTTTCATTCTCAATGTCCAGCAGGTTCCCGGGATGATCTGGGATGTTATCAGATCGGGCATTAACAGCAGCAAGGTGCTCATTGAAAGCACTGGGCCCCATGCTGGAATCCACAGAAGAGAACAGGGCGCTGCACCACATCAGCATGTATTTAGTTTTACTGCAATATCAAACCCAGGCCTGTGCAATAGTGTTTTTCAGCAGAATGAACTGAAATGTTGAATCAAGTTTACGCCTAGATCTGTGTGTTGAGTTCACCTTCTCCGAAGCACCATGCAGTCAACTGATCTAGACGGTTTTGCTCTCTGTTAATCAATATGCCACATACATACATACAAACAACAGAGAGAGAGAGAGAAGCAGGCTGCAGGGAACTGAATAGCTACCTGTGTTGCTGAGGGAAATGATATTCAGGGACACAGAAGAGATGATCATGGTGCTCCTGGGCATTCCTTGCTGTGAAGTGTGGGGAGCTATTCCAGCCCCGAATCTGCAGAGAATGAGGCATTAGCATGATCAACACAGGCCTGATCGTGTTTCACTGTTCATGAGCAGTAAGAGGTTACAATGATTAACAAGGACACCGGAGCTGTTCAGAGGGCGAACTTACAGCCTTGGACAGTGAGAAATTATTGTGATTAGCTATTCAGAGTGATTAAAAGTGCACATGGTAAATTGAGACCCATGGACAGAGAGAAACAATGATTAAGTGGGCCATGTCCAGAGTTTCTGCAGGGGGGAAGAACGCTTCATGAGCAATGAGATGGTTATTAACATGGCTACATCAATAGTTATTAACCTGGTTGCATCAACATTGTTCACAGCATGAACTTAGCTTCATGGGGAAAGAGAGGAAATGATTAACAAAGGATCTTAGCACTGCTCGCAGGATGAATTCAGATCCCAGGGCTGAGCCCAGGATTAATGCAGACACATCAACACTGACTGCAGTGTGACCAGATTCACAGGCAGAAGACTCAGGCTAACATGGCCTTGTCAAAATCAACATGCCCAAAGACTCCTCTTTTCTGGGGTTCGGGAGATGGTTAGAACTCCCAGAATTCAAGGTTAATTTAAACCCGCTCACAGCTGGATATTTTAAAAGATTGGACAGAAATATTGTTTGGCTCTGCTGCCAGTGGGAAAGTTTCCCAGTTACAATAATTAAGGATTCTGAGAGGGCAGAGAATGATACACGGAGCTGAACCTGAGCTGAAAAACCTAGCTCTGAATTCTTTCAACAGCGAGGGATGTTCAGGGACAGCGCTCGTTATACAAAATGCACACTCAAAGGGAAATACAGGGCAGACATTTGCTGCATTATTGATTTGTTGCAAATAATTCATCCAACAAAGTTGCCCTTTTCTCTGTGTATGTCTTGTAGCCGTTCCTCCCTGTCAGATTTGGAAGGAGGCCACTCTCGGTCACTGTGGCAGGCCGCCCTAGCAGTCAGTCACCAGTCTTTCACTCTGGCCCTCTAGGCGGGCAGAATAACACACATAGTCTATAGCCACGGCTTCTTGGCTGGGCAAACGATAATTAACAGTCTCCAGGTGCTGGCCCTCTGGGCAGGGCAGCTCAGCAAGCAGTTTTTAGCTTCCGCCGAGGCTGGAGCAAACAGCAACTACAGTCTAGGGCTCTGGTCCTCTGGGCAGGGCAGCTCAGCAAGCAGTTTTTAGCTTCCGCCGAGGCTGGAGCAAACAGCAACTACAGTCTAGGGCTCTGGTCCTCTGGGCAGGGCA